GGCAAACCAGCCTGGAGGATCGGCCTGTGTGGTGAACGCTCTGTATCACACACACACACACACAAACATTATACGCAGTGTGGTTAAAATGAGCATAAATAACAAATGATTTTTTACTCCTTTCCCTGATCATCCCTCTTAAAGAAATCAAAGTTGGGGTCAGCGTTGTGGAAATTGGGATAGTTATTATCCCAGAGGCTGTAGGGAGCAGCCTATTTAACATGCATGCAGACTAGAAACTCATTATAATTGTTGTAATCTTTTGAAAATGAGTGGAAATGTTTTTTGAAGCCACAGCCCATTGCTCAGGCCTTCTGACCAAAAGAGGGCAAATACACGCTGTGTCCCAATGTGAAGGCTACATCCTTCGAAGGCCACGGATGTCGAAGGATGCAGCCTATGCGTCCTTCGAAGGACGCACCATGTAGCCTTCGTAGGATTTCCTAATTGCGCAACCAGGTGTTCCCAATTACCGCTCCTGGCGCCAAGCAACGGTGTGAGAATACAGCTGCCATCCTGAGTTCATTTGATAAAATTGAGTAAACAGCTATGGAGCCAGAATTGTCTATTGCCATTTTTTGTTTTATATTTTACTGGAGGACATGGTGAGGATGTTTCAGCCCCTGCGCTGCCCGGTCATTTTCGGTTTAGCCAAGACCATGGCCATGTAAATTAAACTGGTTTACTGCGTCCCAATTCAGAGGCTGCGTCCTGAATTGCCAGATTACACTTTAAACTGTTCAAGTATTGGGTGTTAACTTACGTAAATAATGTAATGAAATATGAAAAGAAAAGAAAACGTAGGCACACACACACACACATATATATATATATATAAATATAAGTTTGTTAATATAATGTTCACTTATATCTTACCTTGATGCTATTCTCTAGGCTATAGTGTATTTTTTTTTAATAATGTACATAAATGGACCATGGTGAATATATTTACACAGGTTTTCAACCCTATTAGAATATAGTTGAATAAAAAAAAACAATGCAAATGTTACTCCCGCTCGTCATCGGCAGCTGTCAGTCACAGTTGCTACTAGGCGACAAGAACAATCCTCCGTATAGGCTAAACTGGTCCGAGCGCTTCAGACGCGCGCGCCCTTTGATATGGGACGCAGCTGTAGTTAGCAACAATTTGTTAATATTGAGTTAATATTGTTGAATTTTCAAAATAACCAGTGGTGGAATGTGAGGAACTACATAGGCTAGTTCGTTAATATTCACGTACACATGTGAAGCACTTTTTTCACACACAGGACAAGCAACACTACAAAATTATGTTATTTTACAATATGATGCATTGTTTTACATGAAACTACACAAAAGTATAGTTTAAATGTATCAACCTTGAAAATATTCAGAAGTAAAATGCAACATACACAGTAATGCAGTAGCTAGTAATATACAGGTCCTTCTAAACAAATTAGCATATTGTGATAAAGTTCATTATTTTCCATAATGTAATGTTAAAAATTAAACTTTCATATATTTTAGATTCATTGCACACCAACTGAAATATTTCAGGTCTTTTATTGTTTTAATACTGATGATTTTGGCATACAGCTCATGAAAACCCAAAATTCCTGTCTCAAAAAATTAGCATATCATGAAAAGGGTCTCTAAACGACCTATTAACCTAATCATCTGAATCAACTAATTAACTCTAAACACCTGCAAAAGATTCCTGAGGCTTTTAAAAACTCCCAGCCTGTTTCATTACTCAAAACCGCAATCATGGGTAAGACTGCCGACCTGACTGCTGTCCAGAAGGCCATCATTGACACCCTCAAGCAAGAGGGTAAGACAGAAAGAAATTTCTGAACAAATAGGCTGTTCCCAGAGTGCTGTATCAAGGCACCTCAGTGGGAAGTCTGTGGGAAGGAAAAAGTGTGGCAAAAAAACGCTGCACAACGAGAAGAGGTGACCGGACCCTGAGGAAGATTGTGGAGAAGGACCGATTCCAGACCTTGGGGGACCTGCGGAAGCAGTGGACTGAGTCTGGAGTAGAAACATCCAGAGCCACCGTGCACAGGCGTGTGCAGGAAATGGGCTACAGGTGCCGCATTCCCCAGGTCAAGCCACTTTTGAACCAGAAACAGCGGCAGAAGCGCCTGACCTGGACTACAGAGAAGCAGCACTGGACTGTTGCTCAGTGGTCCAAAGTACTTTTTTCGGATGCAAGCAAATTTTGCATGTCATTCGGAAATCAAGGTGCCAGAGTCTGGAGGAAGACTGGGGAGAAGGAAATGCCAAAATGCCTGAAGTCCAGTGTCAAGTACCCACAGTCAGTGATGGTCTGGGGTGCCATGTCAGCTGCTGGTGTTGGTCCCCTGTGTTTTATCAAGGGCAGGGTCAATGCAGCTAGCTATCAGGAGATTTTGGAGCACTTCATGCTTCCATCTGCTGAAAAGCTTTATGGAGATGAAGATTTCATTTTTCAGCACGACCTGGCACCTGCTCACAGTGCCAAAACCACTGGTAAATGGTTTACTGACCATGGTATTACTGTGCTCAATTGGCCTGCCAACTCTCCTGACCTGAACCCCATAGAGAATCTGTGGGATATTGTGAAGAGAAAGTTGAGAGACGCAAGACCCAACACTCTGGATGAGCTTAAGGCCGCTATCGAAGCATCCTGGGCCTCCAGAACACCTCAGCAGTGCCACAGGCTGATTGCCTCCATGCCACGCCGCATTGAAGCAGTCATTTCTGGAAAAGGATTCCCGACCAAGTATTGAGTGCATAACTGAACATAATTATTTGAAGGTTGACTTTTTTTTAAATTAAAAACACTTTTTTTATTGGTCGGATGAAATATGCTATTTTTTTTAGATAGGAATTTTGGGTTTTCATGAGCTGTATGCCAAAATCATCAGTATTAAAACAATAAAAGACCTGAAATATTTCAGTTGGTGTGCAATGAATCTAAAATATATGAAAGTCTAATTTTTATCATTACATTATGGAAAATAATGAACTTTATCACAATATGCTCATTTTTTGAGAAGGACCTGTATATAGATTTAGAGAATAACTACCTTTAGAGGGACTTAGTGCTTTGGAACTTTTGGAAAATTTGGGAATAGAAACTATGGTTACTGGAAGAAAATAACATCACAACAAAGAAGGCTAAGTTCATGACCAAATTATTTGGCTGATTTAAAAGTTAAAAAGATTTTTCTTTGTTAAACTATTTGCGGTTAAAGCTACCCCAGTCGCTAGACTGCCAGTAAGGAGGCTATTTGGCCCAAACCCTTTCCTGTTTGTTCTTGTGGGAAAACTGACTCATGCTGGAAAAAAACATGCCACGTAAGTGTGTGTGTGTAAGGGCAGAATTTCACATGAAACAGTATAAGAACAATCAAAGAGGATTGCTGAATGAATCCAAATTATGTAAAGTGGAGGAAGTTTGTCAGCTGACCAATCTGATGGATTTGTGAAATATTGGATAATTAATTAGAGCAACAATAAATAAAGCAACAGTTTAAACAGAAGCAGCAAACCGTTAAGAATTGGTTTTCTGCATAGTTTATTTAGTCGCATATCAAGCAAAAATGGAGAACCTTTTTATTTTCCACAGATTTCAAACCTTCTTCAAAAGTGTTCAAGTTCTTGGAAATGCACAAAATAGGACTTATTTGCGTTCTGTGTTCAAAATAATTATTATACAAGCAGTTTTTATGACCTCAAAGCAATATCTACTTTGCATGTACTTTCAAAAAACAATTGTCACACCACTATTTAGGTGACAGATAAAAGCAGAAAGCTCCATTAAAATAGTAATGGTGATCAATCATAGCACCTAACAACATTTAAGACATTTCTCTTTATATAGAACATAACATATGCATACATACTCCATCTCTTCTCAAAAGGCAAGTGTTGTTTATAAAAAACATTATGACAATACAAAATAATATTATTCAAATTCAATAAAACAGAAAAGCATGTGTATTTTATTACAAACCAACATAAGAGTCCATTTTGTGTACTCACATTTTTCTTTCTGAAAAAAAAGGCAATTCCAGATCAGGTTCAGATGTTCATAAAATAACTGGCTCCCAAATAGTCACTGGTCGAAGCTCCACATTTCTCCCTCTGATATTTGTATTCGTCCTAAATATTGTGTGAAGATTGTCACTAATGACTAACTCTTTGACTAACAACCAATTTCAGTTGGCAGTCTGACTCCACCTCCATCACTAACACACGGGTGTGCGTGCATACCCCTGGTCACAGAACCAATGGCTCACTACACCACAAAACCCAAAAAGCTAGTTATTTTAGTCGATAAAGTTTTAAATATGGATATTTTTCTGGATATCCTATATTAACCCCCGGGACCGCATGGAGCACTTGGATGGATAGCTCAACAATCCCTGAGCTGTTGTTATTTAATGCAACAGAACCACATAAATCAAAGTTTGCTTCGAAATGGATCACCCTTTGCTATGCAGTTATAACTCAGCATTGATCTGTACTGTAACTAGCGTGTGCCAAGAACATATTTTAAAGCAGTTTATCGTCTTCATATAGGATATCTGGTGCTGGATATGAAGTTCTCCAGAAGCATCAATCCTGGGTTTCCTTATTCAGTGCACATAAACAGTACTATCACCCTCTACTGGAGAAAACTATCCTTTTAGCAAGGCCATCAACAAGTAAAGATTTTTGGATCACGAAATGTTGTAGTTAAAGCATCTACCATGAGCGGCTAACTGCTCATGCTAACCAGACAAACCTTGCTCACTCCATGTAAAATTGGCATCCAGCAAAATGTGCCACGGATTCAAGACTTTTTGTTCATCTGGTCACATTTAGTCGCAGTGAATCGACTCTTGTAGGCTCTCACAACATGAGGAAAGGCTTGTGTAACCATAACGACCAACTTTTATGCCTCTTTTCAACCATAAGACACACTGATTTACAAGGCACAGTTTCATAATCCTTAATGAAAAAGCATTTAAAAGCAAGTAAGTTAGATAGGGTCATTGTGATGGTCTCAGGAACTCCCAAACTCTGTCCTTCTCTGGACAGAGATCGAAAGGTATGCATGATCTTTTATCCTTCACAACTCGCAAGGCCGGGAAGCGTTTCGCCAACAGCTCACAAACCGTGAAATGCCTCCTTTCAGCAGCCTGTGTGCATATACAAACACAAGCACGAAAATGAATAGACCTTAATCAGGGTAGCGACATGTTTAACTTTTGACAGGAATGAAAACAAGGCTGTGAGGTGTAGAATTACAGTGTGTTCAACAGATTGTACTGTGGTTTAACAACATTCATTGTTCAGCTGATGAATCGCTTTCCAAAAAAAGTCGAAAAAACAGTTTTGAAAATATATCATCGAGGACCTTTATACAGTAGCCATTTTAAGACTGTAAGTCTGCCTTGTTTTCATCTGCATGAAAGGGATAGTTCACCCAACAATACAAATTCTGTCATTAATTGCTCACCTTCAAACCTGTAAGACTTTCATTCATCTTCAGAACACAGATGATGATCTTTTTGATGAAATCTAAAAGCTTTCTGTTCAACCATTGACAGCTACTCAACTACCACTTTGACGCTTCAGAAAGTTCATAAAGAGATCGTAAAACTAATCCATTTGAATTGAGCGGTTTAGTCCAAATTTTCTGAAGAGACTCGATCGCTTTATATGATGAAAAGTCTTACAGGTTTGGAACGACATGAGGGTAAGTAATGACAGAATATTTATTTTTGGGTGAACTATCCCTTTAAATTCAATATGCCAGATCTAACCTGACTAAGGTCTGTTACTTGGAGCCTACATTTTAAAAACAAGTTCTATTAAGAATTAAATAAAATGGTGAGTTCGTCAAATATAGCCATGTTGAGAACACCACTACCTTATGAAGTGGTGTTGATCCATCATCATCAGTCAGACATGGATCGGCCCCACGGTCCAACAGTAGCTTGAGCACACTGTGGTGTCCGCAGTAAGACGCCCTATGAAGTGGTGTCGCCCCGCCACGAGTCTGTGCATTCACACAAGCGCCACTGTCCAGGAGTAACTCACACACTGACAGATGACCTGCTCGACTGGCATAATGCTGCTCCAAAGAATAAGAAGGTCTGGGTTATGCATTATGAGATGTTTGCATTAGTGGTGAATTATAAAATGAACAAACCAAAGCAGTGTAGTGTGCCTGGTCCCTCATATTTGGATCAATTCCTTTTTTAATCAACGCCCTGACTCTCTCCACATCTCCATCCATTGCAGCTGACCAAATACCTATAAACAAGCAATTCACATGTTTTTGATATACCAACATTGTGTGACATGATGATATATGAACATAAGCAAGGGGGATGCACCTCTCTCAAAGTCCATCTCCTCCAGGGTTTGATGGACGCTTGGTGTTGAGCGATGGGCACTACAGGTGCATTGACTTCCATGGGAATCCATCCTAAATGCTATAAACCAGCATAGACCACAGTTTTGTGATATATAAAGTGAAGTGTAAAGTGGATGTAAGTTTAAAGAACTGTGTGTGAAATAAACGTGGTTATATTTTGCCATATCAAAGATAAACATCACATATTTGTTATGGACACTAATGACTAAATCAGTTCAGCTCTTGTTCACATTTAGCTGCCTGATAATGAACAATTGACACTTTTGTTTAAGTAACTGAAACAGTTCAAATTCAGAACAACCAACACCTATAAAAGGTGTAAAAAACTGTCATTACCTGCACATGAGTTCATTGAGTTGGAAAATACTGCAACATGAGCACTAGTGAAAGAGATGTGCAACTGAGTTCAACAAAACGAATAGCCTTTCAAAATAAAAGTCCTGCTTATGAGACGTACCATTGACATACCAAAATAAAAGTCCTCCAGTAGGCGGCATACCATTGGATCGTTTTGGTTGGGCTAGTCTTAGGCCCCATCCACACTACTGCGTTTTAGTTTAGAAACGGATAATTAAAACGAATACGATCTCCGTCCACACCAGCGTTTTAGCTGCGTATTAGAATTGATCTCCGTCCACATTAAAACGACTGAAAACGCGGATCACGTGACCATTCACCAACACTGGGCATGCGCGTGCCGGTGTAAACACAACTTCATTGATAAAATTATCCCACCATGCTCTGGGTTAACCCCAAACCTACGCTCCATGTACGCTCAACGCCGCCGCTGCACACGGGGAATTGTCACAGATCGCTCGAATAATAGCTTGACTCCGGCGCATGTAGGCAGTTATAGCGCTGTAAAATGCAGAATTTACTTGTACAACAGCTGCTAGCAAAGATATACGCCATGACTGATGACACCCAATCATAGAGCCGAGCGTGAGCCTCTACTACGTCATCGTTTCTAAAGTCCTCCGTCTTGACCCGTCTACACTAAAACGCCCTCCGGAGATTCAAAACGAAAAACGGATCGGCAGCGTTTCTAAACTTCTCCGTTTTGGGTCTCGGTTTTCGCCGTTTTAGTGTGGACGGGAGGTGCAAACGTAGCAAAAGGTCTCCGTTTTTAAACGAAAACGCAGTAGTGTGGACGGGGCCTTAAACTATCCTTGTTTGTTGTTGTTTTTGTCAACAAATGTATGAGTTTTGTGAGCACATATGGGTTTGCTGTCTGAGTGTCCACATTAATTTGACCATGTATGGAGACTGAGACAGACAGTTTAGATAAGATTATTTCTAATATGCTGATTTGCTGCTCAAGAAACATTATTATTCGTTATTAATATCCACAAAAATATTAAGCATAAACTGTTTTTAACACTGATAATAAGAAATTATTATTTCTTCAGCAGCAAATCAGCATATTAGAATGATTCCTGAAGGATCACGTGACAATGAAGTCTTATGTTGCTGAAAAATTAAGGTTTGATCACAGGAATAAATTACATTTTTAAATATATTAAAATAGAAAACGGTTACTTTAAATTGTAATAATATTTCGCAACATTTATAAATTTACTGCATTTTTGATCAAATAAATGTAGCTGTGGTGAGCATAAGAAAAAATCTTAGCTGACCCCAAACCTTTGAATGTTAGTGCATTTATCTCCACACACATAAATAAAGACAGACAACCAGACTTTGATTATAACAGTCTATTTATGGAAATACACTTCCGTAATAGAGTGCAACAGGGTTCGGTAAAGAGAGAACCGATAGATCCTCCCCTCCACCACTTACATAAATACAGCCTGATACATAAATAAATAGCTTGCACCCTTTCCATAAGGGTCTGATATACATAGAGATCACACTTAAAGTGCAAAAGTCTATTTTGATTGCCTTCATTTAACAGGATTGATGGAGTACCTACAATAACATTTGTAAATGAAAATCAACAGCATGTTTTATAACAAAAAACACTGAAAAGTCAGAAATCTCTGACCGAGATGGTTAGGTTTTCATTTAACCATGCAGCAAATAATCTAGGAATAGTTGAGCAGCCTTTTATAAATGTGCTACTTCTTACTACACAGAATTTCTGGACACAAACGCACAAAGTCAAACAAAAAGTGGGACAGTGGGATTGATGAGCATATGTTATATCGGAAACACTTTACTTTACAATAAGGTCTCTTTTGTTAACATGATTTATTGTGTTAACAAACATGAACTAACAACGAGCAATACAATCTTTGTTAATGTTAGTTAATAAAAATACTGTCGTTCATTGTTTGTTCAAGTTAGTTCACAGTGCATTAACTAACAGATATAATAATGGATTAGTAAATGTTGAAATTAACATTAACTAAGATTAATAAATGTTGTAGAAGTATTGTTTATTCTTCGATTATGTTAACTAATGTAGTTAACTAATGAAACCTTATTGTAAAGTGTGACCGTTATATCATGATGAGCATTATAAGGAAGCACTGGATTTGATAATGACCCGACAAACATCCCATGAAAATTTTTGGTGTGGGTTGGTCACTTCAACATTTCACTTCAATGAAAAATAAAAAAATGGGGAAAATAAGAACTGCATACCATTTCCACATATTATAAAATGATATGATAAAATAGCATATTGGCACCACTGGTTAATTATTGTGCATATTAACCTATGGCTAAGTGTTATTACACAGTTATCAAAAATGAAATAGGTTTTGCAAGAATGCAGCAAAATGTGGTTTGCATTTGGTTGAAGTCTTTGTCTGACTGCATGGATTTAATAACTAAAAATGGCTAAAAACAAGAACGGGTTATATGGGAGGTAGATCAACAAATGGCAAATCGAAAAACAAAATAAGCAATTAATGTCGTTTATGTGTAAATGTAAAAACAGAAAATATAAGAGCTGTACATTTATGTTGCATATTTGACACCAGAACTGTCAGTTATGAGATGTTTAAGGTATATTATTCCATATACAAAAGGCTACTATTATATGAGTTTGTTTCGCCTGCGGTAAGCTGTGCAACAATAAGCCTCCTATAAATTCATTGATAAATCTAAAATTCGATAGACATATTTGGTTGTACTGATTGATTGAAATGTTGACTTCATTATTTGAGACGAAACACAACATGAAACGTATACATTCAGTGAAATCGAACAATAGTTCAACACAAAGCATAATTAAAAACAAAAGCAAAAGTTTGGTTTGACAAACGTCCTTTTTAAATATTTGGAATCTCTACGATAAGCTTTCGCTATGTTGGCCATGACTGCAGACCCTGGATGTGCACTAGTGCATGAGAGTAAAGCTCAAAGATTAGAGGTGGGCAAACCAAGTGCTAGTGTTGCATACGGTTCCACGGGAGCGTGAAACGGGGGTGAGGGAGTGCTGGGAATAGCTGGCTGGTGAGGTTTCTGGGCAGGGAACGATGTAATTGGTTATCTCACACTTTGGGACATGTGCAGTGGAGTCAGCATCTCCTCAAAGATGGCTCCTTTCACATTTGAACCACGCAGATTCGCTTCCTGTAGATCACAGCCTGAGAGATCGCAGTTCTGCACACACAATACAGAAAATGTTTTTCAGTGCAATAATGGTGTCACTAGATGCCACAGAATAACACACCTTCAATCAACACTGGCTGCGTTTACATAGACGCTAAATAATCCGACAGTAATCAGCCTAGAGCACAGTCGAAATAAAGAAGTCACATGTCACTCGGAATGAACTGACCAATGACTCGACAGGACATGTAAACGCTTGGACAGTTTGTCTGGAATGTTCTCAGCACGTGCAATGATGTAGAAGTGGCGCAATGATGTAGAAATGGCGCAATGATGTAGAAATGGCGCAATGATGTAGAAATGGCGCAATGATGTAGAAATGGCGTAATGATGTAGAAATGGCGCAATGATGTAGAAATGGCGTAATGATGTAGAAATGGCGTAATGATGTAGAAATGGCACATGATGTAGAAATGGCGCAATGATGTAGAAATGGCGCAATGATGTAGAAATGGCGCAATGATGTAGAAATGGCACATGATGTAGAAATGGCGCAATGATGTAGAAATGGCGCAATGATGTAGAAATGGCGCAATGATGTAGAAATGGCGCAATGATGTAGAAATGGCGTAATGATGTAGAAATGGCGCAATGATGTAGAAATGGCGTAATGATGTAGAAATGGCACATGATGTAGAAATGGTGCAATGATGTAGAAATGGCGCAATGATGTAGAAATGGCGCAATGATGTAGAAATGGCGCAATGATGTAGAAATGGTGCAATGATGTAGAAATGGCGCAATGATGTAGAAATGGCGCAATGATGTAGAAATGGCGTAATGATGTAGAAATGGCGCAATGATGTAGAAATGGCGTAATGATGTAGAAATGGCACAATGATGTAGAAATGGCGCAATGATATAGAAATGGCGTAGTGGTGCAATGATGTAGAAATGGCACATGATGTAGAAATGGCGCAATGATGTAGAAATGGCACAATGATGTAGAAATGGCGCAATGATATAGAAATGGCGTAGTGGTGCAATGATGTAGAAATGGCACATGATGTAGAAATGGCGCAATGATGTAGAAATGGTGCAATGATGTAGAAATGGCGCAATGATGTAGAAATGGCGCAATGATGTAGAAATGGCGCAACGATGTAGAAATGGCGTAATGATGTAGAAATGGCGCAATGATGTAGAAATGGCGCAATGATGTAGAAATGGCGCAATGATGTAGAAATGGCGTAATGGTGCAATGATGTAGAAATGGCGTAATGGTGCAATGATGTAGAAATGGCGCAATGATGTAGAAATGGCGCAATGATGTAGAAATGGTGCAATGATGTAGAAATGGTGCAATGATGTAGAAATGGCGCAATGATGTAGAAATGGCGCAATGATGTAGAAATGGTGCAATGATGTAGAAATGGTGCAATGATGTAGAAATGGTGCAATGATGTAGAAATGGCGCAATGATGTAGAAATGGTGCAATGATGTAGAAATGGCGCAATGATGTAGAAATGGTGCAATGATGTAGAAATGGTGCAATGATGTAGAAATGGCGTATTGACGAGTGGAATGTGTTTTTGTTTTTTAACAAAGCTGTGTCAATCTAAAATTCTCCTTCCACTCATCGTTTGTGAAAAGGCGCAGGAAGCGTCCCAGCAGGCTTTGCTTCGGACTCTCCTCCTCAGACGCCTTGTTTTGGGCACAGGAAGGGTTGTTTTTACTGCTTGATAAATATAAGCAGCACGGCACAAAGGGTCATGTGCTAGTCTTCTCCTGATTAGGACTCGCAATAGGTATTAAAGGGATAATTCAACCAAAAACAGAATGCAGGTTTTGCAAAATTCGGCTGCCAGAATCCTTTCTAGAACTATTATACGAAACCATATTACTCCCGTTTTGGAGTCTTTGCACTGGCTTCCCATTAGGTTTAGGGTGGACTTCAAAATTTTTATGCTTACTTACAAGGCACTGCATGGTTTGGCACCTCAATATTTGACCGAGCTTTTAACTCCATACACTCCAAAACGTGATCTCCGTTCTTCGGAAACTGGTCTTTTAACTGTTACCTCAACTCGTTTGAGATTAATGGGAGATAGGGATTTTTCGTCATTAGCTCCAAAACTTTGGAATTCTCTACCGATTGAGATCAGGCAAGCCAAATCTTTTGGTATTTTTAAATCTCAGCTTAAAACTCATTTTTTTTAGGTTAGCTTTTAATTGATTTATTGTCTTTTATGTTTATTTTACTGTGCATTATGTCTCTTTGTGTGTTGTATCTTTGCTGTTTTAATTGTTTTTGTACAGCGCTTTGAGATAATAAAGGTTATTATTATTATTATAAAAAACGAAAATTCTGTCATTTACTACATACAATTTACAAATTGTTCCAAACCTGCATTCATTTCTTTCTTCTGCTGAACACAAATGTCGGTAACCAAACAGTTGATGGACCCAATTGACTTTCCATAGTACTATGAAAGTCAATGGGGTCAATCAACTGTTTGGTTACCCATATTCTTCAAAATATCTTATTTTGTGTTCAGCAAAAGAAAGAAATTCATGCAGGTTTGGAACAACTTGAGGGCGAGTAAATGATGACAGAATTTTCATTTTTGGGTGAACTATCCCTTTAAGACTGCTTTTTAAAACAATGGAAAGGAGGATGGTTAGTCTAAAACAACAGCTGGAAACTTTGTGTGCTTTTCAAAAGATCAATCCGATTTGAAGCTTGTGACATATAAACGCACACATTAACCCGATCAATTTATTAAGAGTAAACGCAGCTACTGCAGCTACTCTCACCTCGAGATCTGTGCCGGCTAATGTAGCACCTCGCAGGTTACAGTTCTTCAGCTTAGCATTCTTCAGCGTAGCCACACGCAGATTAATACCAGTCATCTGACTGCCCTCCATGTCAACTCCTTTTAGATTAGCCCCTAAAGCGCACAGAGAGTAACATGACAATGCAACGTTAAAGGGTTAGTTCACTCCAAAATGAATATGCTGTCAGTAATTACACTCCCTCATGTTGTTCCAAACCCGTCAGACTTTCGTTCATCTTCGGAACACAAATTAAGATATTGTTGATGAAATCTGAGAGCTGGATCACTCCTCCATAGGCTTCTTAAGGGATCGAAACTTGCCGGCCCAAAAGTTAGTAAAGAAATCGTTAAAATAGTCCGAGTGACTACAGTGGCTCAACCTTAAGTTTATCAAGCGACGAGAATACTTTTTGTGCGCAAAAAAACAAACAAAAATAACGACTTTATTCAACTATTAATTTCCTTCTCTGTGGGGCTCGAGTGAGTTCACGTAGTGATATTTCGCAAAGCTTCTGTGTTGTACGCCACACACATCACACACACATGACCAGCGTCGGCCAATAGTGAGCCTGCGTGTGACGTGCAACACAGAAGCGCTGCGTAGTTTCACTACGTGAACTCACTCGAGCCCCACAGAGAAGGAAATTAATAGTTGAATAAAGTCGTTATTTTTGTTTGTTTTTTGCGCACAAAAAGTATTCTCGTCGCTTGATAAACTTAAGATTGAGCCACTGTAGTCGCTCGGACTATTTTAACGATGTCTTTAATAACTTTTGGGCCGGCCAGTTTCAATCCCTTAGAAGCCTATGGAGGAGTGATCCAGCTCTCAGATTTAATCAAAAAATATCTTAATTTGTGTTCCGAAGATGAACGAAAGTCTTACGGGGTTGGAACCACATGAGGGTGAGTAATTACTGACAGCATTTTCATTTTTGGGTGAACTATCCCTTTAATGTGGCATAATTTCCATTAGCAATGATGTTCTATGACTAATTCTGTGTGCAGGAGTTTTACCCTCTAGATTGGCCTTGAGCCCAGAGGGATCCTCAAAGTTACATCCTTTAAGGGACGCTCCCTCTGCGTTGGAGCAGAGCATCTTCACGCCCTGAAGATTAGCACCCTGGAGCACAGAAGAAAGTGATCAAGCAACACTTCATATCAGGTCGAGAGGATTAAAACCAAACGAAAGCGAGAGATGGTCAGCTCACATCCAGGTTGGCTCCGGAAAGGTCCGCTCTCTCCAGGTTTGAGCAGCACATGTTTGCATAGGTGAGATTGCAGCGACTCAGATTTGCCATTTTAAAATTAATATAGCGCAAATCCAGCCGAGAAAGGTCCGCTCCACTGAAATTAAGACCCTGAGAGGGGAAAAAGACACCTCAATACCAACATCAGACTGACTAATACACCTGACTGAACAGTTCTGAAACTAAAGTCTTCTACCTGACAGCGTAGCTCTGATTTGGTTGGTGTAGCCAGCAGAAAACGAACAAATTCCTTCCGTGAGAGTGGAGAGTGGTCTTCAGGTGGATGAGAATTCTGCACATCATGGAAAAATTGTATTAAACGTATGCATATACACAACCTCTAAAAGTTTGGGGTCAGAAAGAGGTTTTATTTTTGGAAAGAAATTAGTACTTTGACTTTGATTAAAATTGATACAACTATTAAGCAGCACAACTGTTTTCAACACTGATTATAATTAGAAATAAGCACCAAATCATCAAATTAGAATGATTTCTGAAGGATCATGTGACACTGAAGATTGGAGTAATGATGCTGAAAATTCAGCTTTGATCACAGGAACAAATTACATTTTACAATATATTACAATAGAAAACAGTTATTTTAAATTGTAATATTTCACAACAATACTCTTTTTACTGTATTTTTTATCCAATAAATGGAGCCTTGGTTAGTTGACGAAGAAGAAAACTTTTGAAAGATAGTGTATAATATATATATATATATATATATATAATACCTTAATGGTGACTTCTAGTTGCTCTGCCAGTTGCTCAATTCCAAAGAATCGAGCTTCTTCTAGTACTCCTATAAAACATAAAACATTCAACTAACTAAAGAATAAAAGTGACTTAGGTTATGACAAGAATATATTTTTGTTATTAATTACAATTATTTATTGAACAATGGTGTATTTTTATAAAATTTTCCATGGCTGTTACTTTATAACAAACCTTGAATTATAGTGATTTACCAAGATTAACATTTATTGCAATAATCTACACGCCAAACCTGAATGTACCATCTAATGTATACCTAATAAACTAGATAAGAACTATCATCTGAGAATGCTTTAGTTCACATTCAGGCCTCACTCACCAAGTAAGTTGATTCCTTCATTGACAATAATCTGGCCATGCCTCAGGTAGTTCAGGATGGGCTCAAAGTACTCTGGGCTTCGATCAATGAGGTAAGCCCCTCGTTCGTCCTGCTTATTGCCCCATACATCTGCAGATCAAGAAAGCGGGGGGAAAGAAATCTGATAAAACTGTGCAACAACCAGCAAAACAAACAATGCTTAAATCAATCAGTGAGTGTACGGGAACTAAACTTACCCTTCTCTCTGAACATGTGTGCCAGCATGCTGTCAGGCTCCTTACTCACAAGAGTACTCCTTAAACAAGAGCAAACACAGAGAGCAGACATCAGAATACACACCTAAACGACAGACCAGTGCAGACTAGTGTTGTTTTAGCATTATTTATATCATTGGTGTCCAATCAAGCTCCTGGAGGGCCACTGTCCTGTAAAGTTTAACTCAAACCCCAATTAAACACACCTGAACCAGCTAATTACGGTCTTACTAAGCATACTAGAAACTTCCAGCCAGATGTGTTGAGGCAAGTTTCAGCCAAACTCTGCAGGACAGTCAGTGGCCCTCCAGAACCGAGTTTGGACACCTCTGATTTATGTACTATTTATTAAACTACCGGGCTGTTGAGTGCTTGATTCTGATTGGTTGAGGAACCTTCTAAGGTGTGTAATTATTTTCAGGGAAACGCACGGCTAAAGTAGTTCCAGCAAGGTCTTGACCGCATTACTGTTTCATATCACTTCGCCAAATGATTTCAGTTATTTCAAAGGTCCTTAAAACCGACAACAGCAAAAGAACCAAAACCTACAACGACACTGACCTAGCAAATAAATATAGTAAACAAAAATTATCTTCCACTCAGACGCATACACATACAGTACGGACACACACACGCAAAGAAACGTGTTGTCAGCGCTGCTCTGACGATTTTATCAGTAAAATAGTTAAGTAACTTAAAAGATACATGACATTTCTCACTAGAGAGGTAATAAACAGCTAGTGATGCACCGATGTGAAAATTGTGGCCGATACCGATAACCGATATTAATATTGCTTTTATGGCCGATACCGATATCGATGTCGATATCTCTGTATAGAAAACACATAGCGAGGATTAGGGCTGCACGATATTGATAAAAAATGACATTGCGATGTTTTATTTTTCTGCGATATATATTGCGATTATAAAAACAATTTCACCAGATGACTTGAATAGCTCTATTTGGAAAGAATGAATCATTCTAGAATGACTGGGGTGGTTTTGTCATGGAGTAAATCCGCATAGAAACTAATATTAATAGTTAATGTTAACTAATGTAGTTTACTAGACTTTAATAAATGGAACCTTATTGTAAAGTGTTTCCGATTTATGTCTCTTGAGTTCAGTGTTGGACAGATCAGTTGTTTTAACCATTCATTAAAGTGAATCGGTTCAAAGGAGTCATTAGTTCGCGAATCGGACGTGTCATTAACGGACCACGGCACACGTTGTGTGATTATCCAGGCAATTTAGGACGTCGCACAAGATTTGTCTCAACACAGAAAACATTTCATCACTAGATAGATTTTTGTTTTGTTTATTGAAAGTGTGGTTTATGTCATCTGAATGTGTGGAAAGCTTTTCAGAGAAGATAAGGCAACGTTATTTTAGCACAATTCACAACCAATGGTAGTTCAGAAAAAAAACAGCGCGCAAGTTCCAGTCTTCTTGCGCTTGATGTTTAAACTGACAGGACTTGGGCTTGTACATGCGCTCGTGCAAAAACAAACATCCCCGCCCCCACACTCACATCTACACACACGTCAAAAACACAGGAATGATTATCGGCCTGTTCACATTGGCCCTATTTTGACATCGGAACGATACCGATGTGTAAAAAATGTACCATATCGGCCGATATATCGTGCACCACTAATAACAGCGCTGTTCTTGAAGCAGATAAAAGTACAGTTTTCGCTATTAGTAAAGATGCTGCTGCCAAACAGTGTTGAGAGACACACTCTGGTAATTCTTAACCTCTCTCTCTCTCTCTCTCTCTCTCTCTAATAAATGCATTAGTCTCCTATCAATGGCTCAAGCCTTCGTTACTAGCTCTAAAATGATGTTTTGGAATTAAGAAATGGAGGAGTGGAATTAGATGCGTAAGAAATCAATCCTACACACGAGTTTTAAGGACAAAAACCTGACAAATCTCTTGAAAAATAACATCTGAACAATGTCTTGAGGTGTGGTAGCCATAGTATAAGCGGAATAATTGACTCCAGTCCATTGAATTATTAGAAAATAATGCACACCTGAGGTGTGATTATCTACCACTTCGGGTGTGCATTATTTTCGAATAATTCAACGGACCATTGTCAATTATTCCTTACTTACGGTAATATAACCACTCAAGATTAAGCATTGCTGTGATTTTACTATGGTTAAGATGGTTTCCTTCTTGCCTAAAAACACCTCTTAACTATCGTCAAATCACAGCCTTTCGCTTTATTTCCTTTCACTCATTTATTAATTTACAAAAAATATCTATTAAGAGTTGTTACAGTCATAGATAAGAACTTGATATTTCAATGAAAGTTACAGTAAGCCAACAAGACAGCAAATCATGCTGCATGGTTACCTAGTGGTTGTGAAATGGCGCCCACCAATATTCAGCGTCAGCCAATCAGTGTGCGATCCTGAGATGTCATCTGACGTTTTCCCATCACTCTGAGGATCTAAAACACAAACACAGTCATAGTTTTACACACTGACCTTCAGTTTCACTGAATAATGATAATACGTTTTATGCAAAAGTGACTTTTTACACTTTTATGAAAAATGACTTTAAAGGGATAGTTCACTTTGAAATTAATTTTTGATATGTTTTAGCTTACCTCAAGGGCATCCAAGATGTAGGTGTCTTTGTTTCCGCAGTAGTTTCAATTTTGATATTTTTAGGTCAAACCGTTCTTGTCTGTCAGTCATATAATGCAGGTCTATGGTCACCACCTCAAAGAGCATGCACAGAGAAGTCCAAATTAAACATGATTTAATGACTCGTAAATGTAAGTACACATTGATGGCCTAAGACACGAAACGAGCGGTTTGTGTGAGAAAACGAACAGTATTTATATCGTTTTTACCTCTTGTAACCACAGCCACGTCCAAGTGATCTGAGGGCGCGGGCGCTTCGGTCTTTTCCGGCAAGCGCCGGGAGTGATCTCTCGCGCGTGTACGTCACACATTGTTTACACAGAACAGAGATTGTAGGTAAGACGGCTAATTGAAATGGTACTAATTTGCGCTTATCCGGGATGTTTAAACCGTCGTAAAAGAAAACAATTAAAAAAATAAAAAAATTGTATGAGTGAGGTATAAGCGCGAGAGATCACTTCCGGCGCTTGCCGGAAAAGACCGAAGCGCCCGCGCCCTCAGATCACTTGGACCTGGCTGTGGTTACAAGAGGTAAAAACGATATAAATACTGTTCGTTTTCTCACACAAACCGCTCGTTTCGTGTCTTAGGCCATCAATGTGTACTTACATTTACGAGTCATTAAATCATGTTTAATTTGGACTTCTCTGTGCATGCTCTTTGAGGTGGTGACCATAGACCTGCATTATATGACTGACAGACAAGAACGGTTTGACCTAAAAATATCAAAATTGAAACTACTGCGGAAACAAAGATACCTACATCTCGGATGCCCTTGAGGTAAGCTAAAACATACCAAAAATTAATTTCAAAGTGAACTATCCCTTTAAGCTATTCGTTGGTGTTCCCTCCTATAGGAATCCAGCTCATGTCCTTGGCATTTCAAACAGCATATTCTACCAGCTGAACTACAGGGAAAACAAAATGATGTTGGCTCACCGATGAAAGCGTCTCCTTCTGACACATATAGCACATCATCATCTCTGTGGAATACATACAATAACCAGTCAGTATATCCGAAACAATACCTCTCATTTGCCTATCCCACTCAAGAATCAAGTACAAGGCTGTAATCGGGTACACTTTATTTTGATGGTCCCCTTCAGAAGACATTATATTGAGTATAAGTAGTGCGGCACCTACATCATGGGGTGACTGAAAGGTGTTTTACTCATAAATTATATTTTCAACTTGAAAGTAAATATGCATATTGTATGTATTTTTTATAAAATGAATCATAGTAAATTCACTTCAAGATTAGAATATAATTTGGTAGAATAAAGGGTTAGGGTTAGTAGAAAAAAAGTTGACATGTAGATGTTAAGTTACTAGTCAACAGAATGTCTAAAGAGGACCATCGAAATAAAGTGTTACCAGGTCATCTTTGTTAACTCATTTGTTTATTTAAAGCAGGTTTAAATAACAGAGAATAGCAATTTGTTTTTCTTTTTTTCATATTGTTCCCATCATTGTCTTTCATAAATGAATGAATGAGTTGAAGAATGCCGATGCAACTGTACCTGATGAGCGCAATGTCATCTATAAGACCACCTTTCCCATTATATAGGTTACAAGCCCTGATTCCCAATTTATTGCTGGCGACTGTCAAAAGATCAGGCAGAGTCCCATAAACGGCTACAACCTGCAAAAGAAGCAAAGTCGTGAAGGCATTAATATTGCAATGTTTGCATTACAGACAGTGTTAGAATGTTTATTACAATAATTGGTCACACTTTATTTTAAGGTGTCTGTGTTACAGTGTAATTATACATTTAAGTACTGAGTAATATTAATTAACTACATACTTACTATAGGGTTGGGGTTTGGTAGTATTAGTAAGTTGCACGTAATTATGCATAATTTATAGTTATTACTATAGTAACTAAATGTAACATATGTAACAAGGACACTGTAAAATATAGTGTTACCCAATAATTATTATGGAAACACTTTATAATAAGGTTCCATTTAGTAAAAAGTGGTTAACTACACTAGTTAACATGAAATCTTTTTAAATCTCAGTTAATGTTAATGTCAACATTTATTAATACATTATTACAATCTGTTTATATTAGTTAATGGACCTGAGCTTATATGAACTAAAAAGGACCAGTTGTATTTTTAATAACTAATGCTAACAAAGATTAATAAACAAAACTAATGTATTGTTCATTGCTCGTTCATATTAGTTATAACTAACTTTAACTAATGGAACCTTATTGTAAAGTGTTACACCCTTATTAAAAAATCAACATTGAAAGTTGTTGTCTGGAAGGATAATGTGAATTAAGCAATATCTTTCACTATTATAGAATATTTCAATAAATATTCAATATTAGTATTGTAACTGAATACATATGAAATATGCATGTTTAGTATATAAATCAATAAAAATGTATATAGTAAAAATTATGTAAACAATATTTAAACGTATTAACTAGTTACGTCAATGCATTTATATTTAAACAATATAAATGTATTGACGTAACTAGTTAATGTAGGTAGTGTCAATAAAATACAGAAATGCATTTACGAGGTATAATAATAAACAATAATGTTACAATAACAGTAGTGCGAGCTCTTAGTGGCCTTAATCATATCGTCAGGAGTAATAACTTAAATGTTTTGAGTTCTAACAGTTTTCTGTGTCTTTATTACATAAATTGAAACACAGTAATAGTTTCATGCCATTGACAGGACATCACTGTCTGTCCACACAACACTTACTGGAGTTGGCCAAGCTAAACGTGTACTGCGTGTGTTCACTCACCTTGCCATTTTTGGAGGTTCCGTTGACAAAAAGCGTCACCCTTCGCATGCTTTGTTTGCACTAATTTAGAGTATTAACTGTACAAATACTAATAAATTAATATCTCGCTAACTTATCTATGTATTAAACTAATACCTACGTAAGGAGAGTAGGAAGAACCAACCTAGCTACATTGTATCAAGATGACGCAGTAGCTGTCCAATCAAAATGCGAATATTCTTGCAGACCTCGATGATTGACCAATCACAGGACGCGTTTCATAAACGGGGGCCTGCGGTTCGGACCAATCGGACACAATTGTGGCGTTGGTTATTTTAATGAAAAACTTGCCTGGTGAGAAGGGAATTTTGACGCAAGGGAAATGATTACCTCAGTGACTGTGGGCTGCTCAAGTCAAGCTACTCATTCATTACAAAGCCGTATTTAGGACTGCGGGAAGTATATATTCTGGAAGTCCCAACCTACGATAGACTGTGTAAACAAACTGTCAAGCTGAGGTAAAATAAAAAAAAAACAAATCCAAAATCTCATTCTCATTCACTCTCATTCTAATACAAAATTTAGAATTGCAAAAATTTGAATCAGGGGAATATGAAAAAATAAGTATTCGATGGTTTCAAAATGATATATGCAGCGTATATGCCTTTATACGACACTAGGGGGCAGAGTAGGACACGTCTTTTTATTTTATTTTATTTATTTATTTATTTAGATCCGCTTATTTCTTTCCCATAATTTTAACATGACATTCCAAAAAAATATCAATTGTTTCTTTACTCTTGTGTACTATATATTTTCTTTTGACAGCCTTCGCATGCACACACAATCTAAATTATCATTAAAATGTGTTTTTATTGACAAAACAAGTAGTATTATAAAGAATATGCATCAAATTGTACAAAAATTCACCCACATGCATTCAAGGGAAACTAATATAATAACATGAACATTATGATGTCCTATATACCGTAATTGTCTATAAAGATCTAATGCAAGAAAAGTAGTGATTTCTGCATGTTCACACTTGTTTATAATACTAATTGTTACTTTAGTAGTTCATATATTAGGTGCAATGAGAAACTCTTAATCTGTTAGAGCTACTCCAAATTTACAACTTAACTGTTCGAGTGAGCCTATGTATTATCTTTTGTAATACTGACAGTATTAAAACAATCCCCATAAGCTAATATTGTTATTTGGCCAACAGATGTGTTTGTTCTTCTATCTGGAGCATTTAGAAAAAATAAAATAGGCTACATGTAGAAGCATTGATAAAGACGTTAAACAATAAGGCAGCGAGTGATAATATCCTGCTTATAGCTGTCTGATTCTTACACGATGGCCTCAATCTTATCTTCTGTAGAAAGGCTGTCCTCCAGAATGTCCCAGTGTGTCTGTAACTGCCCACATACTCTGCAAACACAAGACCGATAATCACTTCTCTTGCTGTTGACAAAATTTCCTTCAGCTAAAGGGAAGTTTCCAGTTCTCCCTTGATTTCCCGTTCAGGTTATTTGGGTTGGGTATTGCCTTCTTGAAAAATAAATGAGATAAGAGCCATATGTGCACACACTATATAGAGTGTGTTTTCTTTACACAGGTTTACAGAGATAACGTTATGACCTGTTTTATATTCAAAATTGCTGTCAAGCATGTAAGGTTTTCCTCCTTAACTGACCTTGTAAGACTTATTAGTTATGTTATCAATTGGGATGTTACCCAGATTACTTCTAGTCTTATATTGTTTGACTGATTACACATTTAATCAGTAAATATGGAACCAAAGCACAGCTGTGCCACGGTTTAGTTTAGACTAGAAATACAACAAATCATACATGAGAAGAGATGTTGCTGCAAGAGAGAGGGGAAGTTATTTTGATTATAGATTACGAGGCACATGAATTAACAAAAAAATAAAAGATGCATGGAGAAATCATTAAAACATTTATACTGCGATATTCCATAAAATATAAGAATTGTCCATTTCGATGACTTTAAAAGAAATAGTTCACCCCGAAATAAAAATTCTGTCAGTATTTCTCCGTGGAAAATTTTTTGTGGAAATAATTCTTTTCACACTGGTCCTTTCCATACAACAATACTTCATAACCACCTCCATATACAGTGGAGAGCAGCATTGTCATATATTATCACTCTATGTATTATTTTTTATATAGAGAGATTTTTTTGCACGCACTCACACACACTAATGTAATATTTCAGAATATGGGTTTGAAATGGCATGAGGGTGAGTAAATATCAACCAATTTTTTCATTTTTGTGGTAAACGTTGACTGGTTTGCTGTAGGTCCACTTACAAGGTGACATACCTCCACTAAGCTATAGCAGTGTTAGAGTAAAAAGTACTGTACGGCATAAAGAGGGAAGTGTAAACAGCAGTTAGTACTAAGCTTCTGTCTTCATGCGTGACTTGTGTAAATTGTCTCTAAGCAACTGTGGCTCTCAATATGGTTCTGAAATGGCTAATGGCTTGTAAAGTTCACAGAAAATTATGATAAACAACTATCCTGAAAGGGAGAAGACTTTTATATTTACCCTCTAGTGTAACATGCCTTTTGAGTTGAGGGTTGCCGGTTGTGTTTCGCTGAGATGTTGCTGAGGCTGATGAAAGTCACAGTGAAACATTACTTCAGTTTTGAGGAAACACCGGAGTTGTGTAAGAGCAACCCTTGTGCCAGTGGGTCGTCTGAAAGCTGCACCAGTCCATGAATAAAGCATCAGGTGCCGTGCAGCTCTGATTTGTTTTTTAGGAACTCTTTGAAATAAATCAGATGGATAAATAATAAATGCATACAGTCGGAGAGGAGATAAAGCAGAACACAAACACAGAGAGAGATGAAGGAAGAGAAAAGGAAATCACATTACCTTAAAAACATCTTTAATTACTTCCTCGTCAGGACTTTTATCAGTAGCTTCCTTATTGTATCAACAGAATTGCTTTATAACAATAACATATTATTAACTAAAACTATATTTGAATGTTTATAACATACACATATTTTCAAATACCGGCTATATTAATTATACAAATCATTTTATGGGATGCAACTATGCATTGTTTTACACAAGGAAATATTTTTTCCTATTAACCTTACATTATACATTTGCATAAATTATATTTTACACTTTAACAACCAAAATACTTTTTTGAGAAAAATGTATGGCAAATCTGTACCACAATGGAAAATACACAGGTGAAACTCGAAAAATTAGAATATTGTGCAAAAGTTCATTTATTTCAGTAATTCAACTTAAAAGGTGAAACTATCATATAGACTCATTACATGCAAAGTGAGATATTTCAAGCCTTTATTTGTTATAATTTTGATGATTATGGCCTACTGCTTATGAAAACCCCAAATTCAAAATTAGAATATTGTGAAAAGGTTTTCATAGCTGTATGACACCTGCAAACTCAAACTACTGGGTGAATTTTATCTTTAACAATTTAAAATTGCTCCTAAAGCTGAGCTCATCTTCCCTTTGGGAGTTCCCTCTACTTGCCCTTTCTGTAGAATATAATTGTTTAATTTGTTTAATACATAAAAATCATTGTTGTGAATATAGTGTTATATGTATGCTAGTAAGCATGTTATTTAGTAAGTGTATTACTATAAACACTTCTAATTAAATAAATAAATTCAGTAATATAAATGATTCCACTATCTAAAAACAATACCGATGAGGAAATGCATTAGAGGTACAGAACTGCGATATGAAAACGATCATAGGAAACATTTTAGCATACGACTTTGTAAGAAAAGTTCTGTAAATAAAAAAACATTTAGTCAAAGTTGAAGAAATCCAGATGTACAAGAAAAGTGTTTAATAGCACAAGAGCCAGATAGGAGCCGGTAGCTCAGGGGTCCAGATAGGTGCTGGTAGCTCAGGGAGACAGATAGGTGCCGGTAGCTCAGGGAGACAGATAGGTGCCGGTAGCTCAGGGAGACAGATAGGTGCCGGTAGCTCAGGGAGACAGATAGGTGCTGGTAGCTCAGGGGTCCAGATAGGTGCCGGTAGCTCAGGGAGACAGATAGGTGCCGGTAGCTCAGGGAGACAGATAGGTGCTGGTAGCTCAGGGGGCCAGGGAGGAGCCAGTAGCTCAGGGAGACAGATAGGTGCTGGTAGCTCAGGGGGCCAGGGAGGAGCCAGTAGCTCAGGGAGCCAGATAGGTGACGGTAGCTCAGGGAGCCAGATTGGTGACGGTAGCTCAGGGAGCCAGATTGGTGCCAGTAGCTCAGGGAGACAGATAGGTGCTGGTGGCTCAGGGGGCCAGGGAGGAGCCAGTAGCTCAGGGAGACAGATAGGTGCTGGTAGCTCAGGGAGACAGATAGGTGCCGGTAGCTCAGGGAGCCAGATAGGTGCCGGTAGCTCGGGGAGCCAGATAGGTGACGGTAGCTCAGGGAGCCAGATAGGTGACGGTAGCTCAGGGAGCCAGATAGGTGCCGGTAGCTCAGGGAGCCAGATAGGTGACGGTAGCTCAGGGAGCCAGATAGGTGACGGTAGCTCGGGGAGACAGATAGGTGCCGGTAGCTCAGGGAGACAGATAGGTGCCGGTAGCTCAGGGAGCCAGATAGGTGACGGTAGCTCAGGGAGCCAGATAGGTGACGGTAGCTCAGGGAGACAGATAGGTGCCGGTAGCTCAGGGAGACAGATAGGTGCCGGTAGCTCAGGGAGATAGATAGGTGCTGGTAGCTCAGGGAGACAGATAGGTGACGGTAGCTCAGGGGGCCAGATAGGAGCCAGTAGCTCAGGGAGACAGATAGGTGCTGGTAGCTCAGGGGGCCAGGGAGGAGCCAGTAGCTCAGGGAGCCAGATAGGTGACGGTAGCTCAGGGAGCCAGATAGGTGACGGTAGCTCAGGGAGCCAGAAAGGTTCCGGTAGCTCGGGGAGACAGATAGGTGCCAGTAGCTCAGGGAGACAGATAGGTGCTGGTATCTCAGGGGGCCAGGGAGGAGCCAGTAGCTCAGGGAGATAGATAGGTGCTGGTAGCTCAGGGAGACAGATAGGTGCCGGTAGCTCAGGGAGCCAGATAGGTGACGGTAGCTCAGGGAGCCAGATAGGTGACGGTAGCTCAGGGAGCCAGATAGGTGACGGTAGCTCAGGGAGCCAGATAGGTGACGGTAGCTCAGGGAGACAGATAGGTGCCGGTAGCTCAGGGAGATAGATAGG